GAGGGGCGGGTGCGGGGGGGGTGCGCCGGCGGCCGCGGTGCGCGGGGGGAGCCGTTTCCCTCCCGCGGGGGTGGAGGCTCAACGTCACCCGCCCCCCCCGCACCCCTCAGGCGTCACACGCCGAACCCCCGCGTCACGGGTGTTCAAAAGAACCACGTCTGCGTGCAGCGCTGGTGGCTGCCACAGTCACTGGCATAGCCTCCCCTCCCCTCGTGGCTTAAAAATCATCTTCCACGTTTCACCAACATGAGCTCAAGCGAGCAATGACGTCATTTTTTCTCTCCCCAAAGCAAAAAACAGTTCACAGATCAGAAGAGGCTGTTTTTATGGAGAAACCGCAAATAACAGGAGGCACAGCCCCGCAGCGTGCGCGCCTCTGTGTCGCCTCTTCATCAGGTGAGGAAAAAGAGGGGCCGTTGGAGCGAGGCGGCCGCACGCTCGCGCGTCCTCGCACCCGAGGGCTCGACAGGGAGCGGGGACGCAGCCCCGGGCCACGCCTGACGCACTACCCCGGGATGAAGCTTTGCGTGCTACCCAACCGCGCGCAGCCAAAAGGAAGCGGGTCCTTCTCCGCGCCAGGGGTTCTCCGTGCTTCAGAGGCGGCGAGGGGCAGTGCCATCCGCTGCCTTCTAGCCCCTCCTCGCACCAGGGGAACGCGTCATCACCAACCCCGAGTATACATGGAGCCTGCTCTTCGAAACGACATTCCCTGCTCATGGTTTTTGAATTTTCAGGACAAAACCCACCATCTGCCATCATTGGCTTCACACATTGAGGTAGTCAGGTTAAATCAAAAAGATTTAAGCACCCATGAAGGCACCAAGAAATCCCTCCTCCTCTTCCTCCAGACAGCAGAAAACTGTATTTAACCACACGCCCGTTGTAGCTCGGCCTGAACACAGACGTTCACAGCGAGACCAATCACTACATTTTCAGCTGTGAGAAATACTACAAGGCTCTCCGCTCCTGTAAGTATTTACTAACGGGACTGTACATCATCTCAAAGTTCCAGCACTTTGGGAAATCTACATTATATGGACTGAAAACACGAGTGCTCAGGGATAAATGTCTTACACAAAAGTACATATGGTATTTTTTTGGCAGGGTCAAGAAAATTTGCATTATTCCTTCCAAATAGGGACGTGATTTGTGCCAGACAGAACACCCAGAAAAAAAAAAACCGTGCAACTCCCCAAACTCATGCTGGGTTTAGCATGTTTTTAGCTCAGCTACTGAAAGTCAGTTCATCTATGCACCAAAAGAGGATCCAGGAAGTAACAGGGAAAGGCCTCTTCTGTTTCACCTTAGGTAGCCTTTTAGAAAAGGACTGTGGATGGCCTCCACCTGCAAACCCAAAGCACTGAGGGATTCTCTGAAGAACCACCTTTGCATTCAGTTACAGTCACCCTTGTCCCAGCATGATTCAACTGAACAGATTTATATTCTTTGTACAGAGTAATTTTTTTAGAACTGATCATCTCATTTCTCTTACATAATTTCAATACTCTGTGAATAAATTCAAACAGCTGGAATACTAAGGTAATTAAAAAAAAAAATCCCTAGTAACAGTCCTTTCAAACTTGACCAAGAAAGGCATTTTTAGAGATAAATAACTGAATACAGTTCCAGAAGTCCCGAGAAAATGGAGCATTCAAGGGCAGTTTTCTCATAAAAAATCATTCTCTTCCCCATCACTCTACTTTTGCATTAGCTTCTTAGAGTAGTTCTTGGCAAGTTGCTTTCGTACTTCTTCCTGTCTCTTTCCAAGTTTAAGCGTGTTGATCAGGTTTAAGGTTTTTTTCAGTTCATGCACAGGCTTGGTTACAAAGCCGTAATACTTCCTTTTCGGAACAAACTCCAGAGCCTTCTTCCAGTCTCCAGTATCTTTCAAGGTTAATAAAATATGCATCATTTGATCCAGTGTGAGATTTTTGGCACCAGTATTCCAAAGCAAGTACTTCTCCAACGGAAGGGCCGCAGTCTCCAGCCCCAGTCGCTTTGCCCGTGCTAAAGAGACTCCTGTTTTTATGCTCCTGTCAACCATTGACCCAACAATATAGATTTTATTGTGATCGAATGTTTTCATCACTTTGGGAGAATCTGCAGTCAGGTAGATAAGCTTATCCTTTGGAAAGACATCTGTGTAGCACTGGTCTGTCACAGTGATAAGCAATTTGCCCCACGCCTCTCTATAATGCTTGATGAATTCCTTATGATAGAGGCTGTCATCTTTCAAGTTACAGAAGTGGATGTGGAACGGATCCACAGATCTTCGATTGCAGCCTTCACTTAACACTAGCTGTCTCACTGTATTTGCAACTTCTCGGGCGGACATATCTTTTTCGTAAGACATGTCAAATACTAGGGGTTGGCCAAAGATCATAGACTGAGCAACCCTCCAACTGTATGCTCTATCCATACAGTTGGCCCACAAACATACGAATGAATTCCTTCTGGTCTCATCAGTTTTTGAAGCTTGCTCTTGTGTTTCCAGCCTCCTTTCCCTCTTCTCATCCATCTTTCTTTTGTCGTTTCTCTTGTAAAGTTCTTTGAGATGCAAATATTTTAAGTACTTCTTTTTGGCTGACTTGGAAGGACATTCCATAAAGGTTTTTAGCTGTTCTTCACTGATATTTTCCGGAACTGATCTGCCAGCTAGTCTCCACATCTCCAAAATCTCACGTGCAGCAGCCAAACTGGAAAGCTCCTTATGCTCAGAGACCGTCTCACTGACTTCTTCTTGCACCCCAGACTTCATTACCTTCTTCCAGGCATCTAAATCTAGTTTTTCTGAGGGACTGCATGAATTGTCCTGCTTCAGGCAAAGCGATGAACTCAGAGTTCTACTGAGTGGAAACAAATCCTTTTTCATCCCATGTTGCGCAGCAAATGAAAGGACAGAACTTGTGACAATTTTTTTCAGAAGCACATTAGCAGACTGCATACTTAGACATGTACTGTGTTCAAACAGCTGCAAAACACCAACAAAAGGGGAAAAAAACTTGTCAGAAATCATGAAGAAAACACACACGGATATTCATCCTTAGTAAGACTGACAGACAATAACTTACTTCTTGGAGAATACTAGAAATTTCTGCTTCCACTATTACTTTTCTATTGTTTTCTAAATAAAAACACCGTATGTGGCACTGCTGTGAAGAGACGTGGTTAGCTCTGCTGCTTAAAACAGCTCTAGTTACTGCAATTCAAAATGTGTTCAAACAACCTTCAAGTATTTGCTGAGATCGATTTAAATTATCTGTATCATATAAGAACCTTCGCAATCAAAGCAAGCAAAATGCTGCGTGGAGACCAAAAATATTTTTATACACGTCCAGAGGTGCCTACCTAATTTTCCTATACTGTGAAAACGGACAAGATGCTTCATCTTGCAACATTTTCTGGAAAAGCTCTATATCACAGAAGATCACATTTTTGCTTTTACCATTATATTTTGGGAAAGCTCCACTGGCAAACTTTAGTACTAAACTTCTTCCTCTTCCATGCGTTTCCACATTGTAGGTCACTGAAGTACTGAAACTACCAATGCTGTAGTTTTGCTACACCGATACTCCTGCCAATGAAAGCACTCTTATGTCCCCTGAGCCCCTTGTTCGCGGCTCTGTCGGCAGTGCAGGCTTTCACGTGGCCGCACTATGAGCCGAATCAGAGAACCGATCTTAGGGACAGCTAACCAGGAGGTGGAAAGAGAGAGAAAAAAAAAAGCTAGTTATCATCCCACCTAAATGAGGTTCCACGCCTGATTCACCAGGCACCTAGAAACAAGAGGAGATGGAAGAATAAACAACTAGTATAGGAAAAGACCATCTTTTTTCTTTTTGCTAAATTGCCTGTGAAGTTGATGTTGGCACATAAAGCTAAGGACATGAAACCCACAGTCCCATTAATTTCATACACATTTGTATTTAAATGTAAAAGATCTGCAAAAAGAAGGAAACCACAGAATGTTTTTTTTTCCTTGTCCTATACAAACCTACTTAAGTAAAATCAGTGAAGTTTCAGGGTTTGAAAACACATGATTTGACCAAAACATAAAAATTAGCTTCACATTTTAAAAGCAAATTCATACTCTCTGTAATAACTTACCACCTGAAAATAATTTGATATAAAGAACAAGTTAAATCTAATTTTGGGGTTATATATATACCTGCTCAGATAAAGAGCCACAGAAAGAACGGCGTACTATTAGGAAACTATAACTAGTATGCATTTTATGATACTGTAATTGGTCAAACTGGTGAGCGACCTTTCATTTTCTACTGTTATTAAGAAAAAATGAACAGAAAAGCCCTAATAGTGTGAAGTTAAAGAGAAAATCTGTAAGCGTTACAATGGAGATGTTCATAATTTTACATTTAAGTGTTAAAGATACTGGCAAAAGTAATAATACAAAAAGCATGTTGTCCAGCTTGGAGAAATCAAGGGATCAGTTCCTCAGTTAACTTACATTACTGCAGCACCAATTAAGTCAATTACTGAAAGGCAGATTTACACAATCTGAATACTTGACAACAGCTTTTGATAAAAGCCAGGTTACCTTTCAGTGTATCCAACACGCACACTACCATGTCATTACTGCAAGAACTACTCTAAATCTCTTTGAAGAACCTACATTTGTAGGACTTTAAATATTTTTCTGATTTTTTTTTTTTTTTTTAGCATGACTTCACTGTAACTCATCCCAGGAACGGAAAGGCCCTTCACTGGTATTTCAGACTGAATAATTCGGTTACTCCCCCCGGCACGGATGCCCACACACGGCTGTCCGCAGGCCTGGCCCCTACACAGCGATGAGGGCCGAAAGGCCCTGCGGGGAGCTCGCCACGGCAGGGCGAGCAGCGATGCGGCTCTTCCCGAGAGCAGCACTACACGCTCCTTAACAGCTTTTAAACCAGCCCGCAATTGAGCCGGACCGCCACAAGCCGGGTAACACCTGGAAGCACCGCGCTGCGCCCCACAGCCCTCCCGGGGGCACCGGCGCGCCTCGCTCCCCCCTGCTGCGGCGGGGAGCGGGGCCTCCGGGGCGCCGCGCCGCAGGCCCG